CAAGTCTCCCCAAATAACCTCAAGCTGGAGGACAGAGAGGAGTAACATTCACCACAGATAACATGTTGATACTCAACAGTATCTTATAAAACTACATCTACTCCTCCTCCTTTGTGACTTGGACTCATTGATGCCAAAGTGTGAATCAGAGCCGTTAAGGTGGAAATAATCAAACCACCGCGTGTCTCCTTCTAATATTTGCTGTTTTCGATTGCTAAAGTCCTGCATCAAAGCCACTGGAAGTCTGCGCTCCTGTCAGGACACATCAGCGAGCATGTTGCAGCCACATGAACCAGAAAACTGATCTGAGGCCAAAAATTGAATTTCACCGCTGAGAAGTTTAGCGGCAAAGTGTCAACCCAAAAAAACACGAAGATCCTGCTTTGAATAAGAAGGCCGAGCGCTGCGCTTTCCTCCTCAAATTCATTTGCGTAATTTACAAAAGAAGTTTGTGTTGTGTTTCATAAAAATAAATCATCTTTCTTTTCAAGCAATATAAACGTTGTGGAGATGATGTGAAGTGTGCACATGTTGTCTTTAAATGCCGTCATTTATTGTATCCTGCATAAAAGTGCCGTGAGGGAAGCCCTTGATTTTTTTTTTTGCGCTGTCGAGGCGTGCGAGGTATTAAATAATCCAAACGGAGCATTAATATTACAACCGAGGGAAGAGTGAGCTTTACATCCAAACAGCAGAAAAGAGCGCGGACGGGACGCACGAATTAAACACAGACGGCTGGCATGGAGCTGAACACTCACCTGCACTAAAAGAGAATTCACTCTGCGAGTAAAACCTGAGGCACCCGTAGGTGCTCTGAAGCGCAGGAGAAGTAAATTATCTGTTTGATTACTTTTATGATCATTTCTCTTTCCGGCAACTAATAAAACAGTCAAGTTTAAAGTTGTGTGTTGCGTTAAGTATCGATCCTTTTTGTTAAGATAAAGGTGAACACAGTGTGTTTGAATTATTAAATTAATAATTCGAAATAAAAATGAATCTCTTCTTTTGCGTCTTAATCTGACATGAAAAGCTGGTGTTTAATATGTTCAAAAAAACAACACGCTGCTGAAAAAGGTGCGTAAAGTTCAAATATATTTTTATACGTATCGATTTAAATTGGAGGATCTGTTTGTAATAATAACTGAAAATCAAGTGTAATTTTTCCAGCTAATAATAGCGCTGCTTATAACAGAATTCAAACAAAAAGCGGAATTGTGAAGAAATCATGTGTTAATAAACTGCCGGGACACATCTCCGCCTTCTCCGTAAAAGTCAAACACGCAGCCAAAGACTTTTTCACTCTCTGTGCTCGGTGTGGAAATTTGCTCTAATGATAGCGAGTTATTAATAGACCGTAATAATCCCATAAGCGCATTAAAGAATTTATCTAATTTTGTCAATAAACCAGTAGAGGGAGAAAAAAAAATGGCCTTCAGGAGGCACTTCGGTAAACTTTCTGCTCCAAGTCTGAAAATGTTCATTTTTACGCACCGATCACCCAGAAAGCAAGAAAAAAAAAAACTCTCAACTTCTCACAGTGACAGCGGAGAGGGGAAAAGAGAGCGAATGCGGTGCTGTGATGATGTGAACTCTTGCAGGTATACTTACGTGTTATTTCTCTCTGGGACAGGTGCTGCGGGTTCCCCTGCTTGCGTCGGGACATTGCCCTGGCATTTACACTGGCATCGCCCGGAGAGCGGCGCTGGAAGGGTCGGCTCTCCTTCTCCTCCTGCTGCTGCTCCTGTAACTGGCCAAACTGGCCACAAAAGCAGCCGTTCGCTGGCCACCCCAAACTGACCGCCGTGCACTGGCCTCAAATGCGGCCCTCGAACTGACCCCCTGCGCGACGGATCTCTCTTCAGTGGGCAGCGGCTCCTGCGCTCTGCGGTGACCGGCCGTGGCGCAGCGCTGGGCGCCCGGGCGCTCGATCGCAGCTCGGTGCCAAAGTGGTTGATCGCCTCCCTTCTTCGGTCGCAGTGGAGGTGAGGGAGGGGGATAGTCCGGCTCTTCCTTCCACCGCCTTCACACCATCTGTCAGAGGAGAGCCGAAAAAGGAACGGAGTGGAAGAGATGGAGACGCGGCAAGACGCGAGAGGTCGGCGGTCACCTCCTGATGGTCACTCACTACCTGTGTCCACTATCCGGCCACCCTGGACGCTGCCCGTTCCTGTGTGGAGAAAGCAGGTGACAGGACGTCAATTAACGTCTGAACGTGTGTAAAATAGGAATCCAATTTTCTTCTCGGCACTTCACGAGATGTCGCCAAGTGGTGGGCACTTCTACTGCTGCACTGACAGTGCCGGCCGGGCGGGCGGGTTAGACTGAAACTCTTCAAGTCAAAGCCCAGTACTGGTCTGAGGACAGACTGCCACCCTCTTTTCTCTTTGTGCTAGCTGCGGAGTCCCGCATCCCCGGACTGTGTGCGGCTTTGTGCGGCTCTGTGCGGCTCTCTGGCTTCTACGATGGGAGAAAACTCAAGTTCAAGTGCGGACGTGACGTTCAGTCTGCGGTGAGAAGGGAGAGTGGAGACTGAAGAGCACTGGGGGCGACTAGTGGTAGCTTTCACACACACAAACACACACACACACACACACAGACACACACACACACGCGGACTCACACCCTCGCACACACTCGGGCGTGTGGCGCGCACGGCAGCAGTGGTCAGAGTCGCTCAAGTCATCTCCGCCGACAAAGCATCGCTATTAGAAGGGGATTTATTTCAGATGGAGTGGCTCTGGGGGGGGCTGCCTGGTCCACGGGATGCCGGACACCTCGCATGAGTTTGTGTTTCACATTTAAAATGTTCGCGTTGCGTCTAATTATGTGTCGTTCGTTAAACACACATCAGTCGCTGCACAGACTTAAATTCACCTGATTGTTAAATATAGTTTGAACTTCTCTGACCCTTTAAAACACCTGGTTGGATGCGCGCGGCCTGTCACACGCTGCGCTCACAATTTACTCTCCCGTTAATGAGTCGACGTTTAATTACACAAAAGCATAAATAACGCGTAATTATTTTATGATACTGGATGAGCAACTGATTAAATTGACGACGTTCATTAAATTGACCACGTATTTGTTAATGTCATTTTCATTTTTATTTCATATAACTGGATTAACTTTTTGCGTGGTTTTTTTGGCCTCGATTTTACGCACAAATGTATCGATCACACTCACGTTCCACTCATTTCCATTCACTCTCAGATCATTTAATAATAACCCTCGTGGGTAGCTTGTAGTTTGTAAATACACACGTCATTCAAGTTTGGATTGTTTGATCGCATTAATCAGTTATGTAAGGGGCCGTGAACGTCACACAAATAAGAATTAATTTCAGCGTTCGGTGGGAGATTTATTTATTTTAAACAGCGGAGCTTTGTGACCTCACGGTGACTTTAAAGTGCCAAATTACCTTTGAAGGAAGTGGGAAATGATCACAGGAGGAATTTAAGGTGTGAATTTTAGAGGGACTCCAGTGCTGAGTATTTGGTGGATTAAATATTCTGTTACCAATAAATTAATCTTGTTTCTTAGTATTTCATAAATAAAACTACTATTAAAATACAAGACAAGAGAAGGCGTTAAAACTGCCACACATCTCAGTCAGTGGTGACAGAGACAGAGAGAGAGAGTCCTGGCTGCCACAGTGTGTGTGTGTGTGTGTGTGTGTGTGTGTGTGTGTGCACTTGAAGTTACATTAGTGTGTGCTAGTTTGGGAGGCAGGCTGATGATGGATAAGTGGTTTGGTGGCAGAAAGCAGCATCTCGGTATGGTGCCTGCTGACTGCTTCCCCAGCAGCACCCACTGTTTAACAGAGAGGCAGGTACAGTGGGGAGCCTCCGATTTCCATCCTCTCACTTCCCTGTGTGAGAGGAGAAGGAGACTCCAAAGCCAAAGTAAAATACGGTGACTTGGAGAAACCTGCATGTGTGTAAGTTTGCAAAGTGGGTGAGGGTGAATGTCTAAGTTGCTGTAGGTGAACTGTGGCATCTTTGTGGTGAAACCCCACCTAGCTCAGATTTAGATTAGAGGAACATCAGTGTTTTTTTGAAAGTAGAGGTTTGAAGTAGTGGCCAGTCAGCCCTGACTAGAAACTGCAGCTGCCAACCCCTTCATCCCTACAGCACCGCATCTGAGCTGGATTAGCTGCTATCACATTCCAGAAACACTCCTTCTTCTTTTTTTTTCCTCTTCATCTGCATGTCTGCGTCTCAACTTGGTCGCTCCATCTCTATCCTCAACCCTGCGGCTTGCGGTAGAAGGGAGAGGAGGGAGGGAGGAGGGGGAGATGTGCAGGCCTCGGGGTTCTTTTTATCCCTCCCACCTTGCATCTAGACAAGCCTGTAGTTTGTTCCTGGGCCAGGTGTTGTCAGAGCAGCAGATCATCCAGCGAGAACGCCTTTCCCATCCTTCATCCACCCCGCTTTGTGTTTGGACTTCTCGCTACTTTTTCCTGCATCGCCTCGAGTGCTGGCGCTTCCCTCCTCTGTCCCTCTTCTGCTTCTTTTTTCAATATATCTTCACGGGGCTCATCTCAGCTGCTCAGGCTGTCTACCAACAAGCCAAAAGCCTCTCCTTATTTCACCAGTATACTGTAGGAGGACATAAATAGATTTCCCATGCTCATTTACAAGAAAAAGGAGAAGATGGCAGGTTTGTCCAAATGTCTTTGTCGCACACACAACAGAACACCCACTTTCATTTGGGAGGGATACATGCAGCACTTTGTCACAATAACAGGCGACAGAGAGCATTATGTTGAAATGTAAATTATTGTCAGTTTTAAGGCACAACTCAGTGCCAGTGCCTTTTTTTTTTTTTTTTTTAATGAAGATATGCGATTAAAGCTGCTTTGAGCAGCTCACAGACGGACGGGGGAAAACAAGAAGAAGCTGTCTTCATTGTCGCTCACATTCAGTCCACACACACACTCATCAGGAATGCCTTGGAACATGGGTTTGCAGGTTCTTCCTGTTATCAGTTTAAACTCTGCTGTTGCTGCAACAAGTAATAAATCATTTCTAATTGCAGCTTTGTTGTTTTTAAGATACAGCTTTGACTTTTTGGACCATTTTTGTATCATCCAAAGCTGTGAAATCCTCACTATTGTGGAATCACGAGTGCTTTCTGTGTGAAGTGACACTCCAGGCCAACATCACTATCTGGATGTGCTCCTTGTCCTTGCAACCTGATTGGCTCATTAGTCAGATGGGCGACAGGTGCATCATTCCACTTTCTTATTGGACGTTTTTCGAAGGCGATTTCTCACTTAAAGGCCATCAGTGTGAGTTATGGCGGATGGCTCCCGGCATCCTGCTTTTGCCCTTCCTTCATTTGCATATATATATGCGGCTGTTTGTTTTTATGTTAATGCTAAATAAGCCTTTTTTTCCCTCCCCCCTCCTATCACCCATCGCCTCGGCTGGGCGGTTAAATTTTAATTAGAGGGACGTGGAGGTGTCCTTTAGAGTTTTAAGATCACTTTGCCAACAACTGTTCACCACTAAACTGGTAATATTGATGTTTATGTGTTCAGATGCAGGCCGGCAGATAAAGCAGAATGTGAAGAGAAACAAATGCAGTGAGCTCAAGGCTTCAAAATGGGCCTGTGCGGAGAATGCTACCTTTTTCAGCAAATCAGCATTTTTCAGACCAGATTTTAGGCAAATCAGAAGCTTGGCTTGTCTAAAAAGATGCATCTGACAAATGTCGTTTTAATCGTAGAATTACAGGTGCTTAGATGTCTTGCTTTGACTTCTTGTGCACGTGGGCCTTAACGTTGAATTTCAAAGTCATTTCCTGACCTTGTAAACAGCCTCTACAGGTAACTGAATATCACACGATGTGATCAAGAACTCCCACCTTTATATACTGGACCTTAAGAAATAAAACGTACCTATCGTAAAGGAAAAGACCAGAAGCCTTTCCCCTGAGCTTGAATACATTAAAAACAGAATAACATAAAAAGTTTCTTTTAACACAAACATTTTCACAATAATTTATTGTCGATTTAAAATGGACGAAAGTTAGCTAAAGAGACACATTATTTGCACCTTACATTTTTAACACTCATTTTTATCAATGAGCAGCTGACTGCTCTTTAACAGCAGCCATCAAGTCTTAATGTCAGCTTCATCCATTAAAGGGGTGATTTTCTTTTTTTATCCAGTCATCAGTAATGAAAAGCAGATTAGAAAGGCAGGTGCTGAAGTGATGAGCTCCGTGCTCGCTCGCAGCTCACAGTGATGACCCTCTGTGCTCAGACCAGCAATGCAACACCACCCTCTATTGGTTATCTACCGCCACATGCAAAGAACAAGCCCCTCTGTGTCACTGGAAATGTGTTCCTGTGGATGCACACGTGCGTGCATACATGCGTGCACGCTTGTGTGCATGTGTGTGTGTCTGTGTGTGTCTGTGTGTGTGTGTGTGTGTGTGCGTGCAGAGAAAGGAGTGAACCTCCAGTGGATTAGCAGACTTTCCTATTCTCGGTCCGAGCCTGTGTGAAAGTGTGTGTTACAGATGATTGATCACTTTCAGCATCTGCTCTGTTGTGTGTTATGCATACACCGTTACATGCTGAAGAGTCGGCTGATTTCATTACTGTACATGCTTGGATTAAACCTCTCTTTGGGTGTTGTAGTGGTTTATTAAAACAGTATTCAGCGAGGCTCATTATTATAGGTTCTGAATGGTGTTAAGTGAATAAAACGCTGCTGTGATACTCTCTGCATGGGCTGAAGACTGAGTGTTTGAGGGCTAGCGGAGGAGCGCAGAAGCCCTTAAGCACAATTACAGATATCAAAGTTGAAATTATTCCGTTTAAAGGGAAAATGCTAATCATAGTTTTATTTAGAGCAAGTTAGCAGCACTACTGAACTCTCATTACCAACACACACACTTCCACACAGACATGTGTGCACTCACACTTCAAGACCTTTTACTCTCTCACTCTTTTATTCTTTGCTCCTCTCTTTTCAAAGAGATTTATTTTCAGAATCATTAATTCCACTACAATTATAGCAGTGGTTAATGTATACGTTGGTCATTATTCATTCTCATATAATGAGGCAGAGAGAGAAAACAAGAAAAAGGGATGTGTTTTCAAGTCAATGTGTAGCGTCCTAATTAGCTTTGCCTTCAATTAGAGACTATGGAGGAGCGGGCCAGCCCTCCAATGGTTCATTCTTAGTTTTTAATGTACTGGGTGAAACCTGACGCCACATTCACAGAATATTTTAAAATATATATATTTGGTTTTTGATGCTAGAGTTTTGGAGGCTATAAAATAGTTCACCTTTTAAATAAAATCATTTTTATTATTATCATTTAATTTTAATTTTGTGCAGTCGAAAAGCAAATTATAGAATAACTTCAACACAACACAGTTTAGACTTTTATTAAGGTTCTGATTTCTATAATTATTTACATACAGACACCAATCTGAAGCTAAAAGGGAAAACTACTTTACCCTACATTACTTCTGTGAAGTCA